ACTTGACCGATTTCCGCATTTTCAGGTACATGCATGAGGCGTTCGAGTTCTACGAGGACACGCTGTCGAATCGCTACCCGTACTCGTGCTACAAGCAAGTGTTTGTGGATGAGGCCTATGAGGACTATCACTCCTACGCGACAATGACGATTTTGAGCGTGAATCTGCTGCATTCGGCCGTGGTGATCGATCAGGTGTACCTGACGCGCAAAGCGATGGGCCAGGCGGTGGCCGAACAGTTCTTCGGCTGTTTCATTTCGATGCAAAACTGGTCGGATCTGTGGCTGAACAAGGGCATCAGCCAGTACCTGTGCGGGCTGTACTGCAAGAAGAGTTTCGGCAACAACGAGTATCGCGACATGATCCATGGCATGCTGCAGGACGTGGTTAAGTACGAGGAAGAGTATGGAGGGATTATATTGGGTGAGGATGATGCAGGGTGGGCGTGGCCTGGGCAGGCGTTGGCTGATTGGTGGGCGTGTTTTCCAGATCCGAGCCAACCGCCGGCGCCGATGCCGCTGGGCGCGAATCCGCCGCAGGCCAATCAGAGCAAGAACGAGGAGAAGTTCTACTTTTCGATTCGCAGCCTGCACACGATGTCGTCGATGTACATCGAGGCGCTGCACAAGAAGGCCATGCTGGTGATGCGCATGCTGGAGCACCGGATTGGACTCGAGTTGCTGCTGCAGGTGAGTGGAATTTTGCGCTAGCGCGCTTCAGGTTGGTCGCAGCTCGGTTTCGATGCGAAAATCCGCTTTTTGGGCCGATTTCAGCTGAAAATGAGTACCATGTCGATGGGTCTAGGACACGTTTCGAACAAACCATCCTCAACCTGAGTGGGTTATTTTCAGAAATTTACCCATCGAGTTGGTACTCATTTTCAGCTGAAATTGACTCAACAAGCCGAATATGGCAACGGAATTGCGATTCGCCCACTAGTTCTTGAAAAAAATTGATTTTTGCCTGTTGCAAACAAATATTTGCATCTTTTTCAAACGTCGCTTACGGCAGG